GAATAAATCTAACAAAAGAGGTAAAGGACCTATACAAAGAAAACTATAAAACACTGTTAAAAGAAATAGAAGAAGACACAAAGAAATGGAGAGACATCCCCTGCTCATGGATTGGAAGAATAAACATTATTAAAATGGCCATCCTTCCAAAAGCAATATACAGATTCAATGCTATTCCAATCAAAATTTCAATGTCATTCTTCAAAGAAATAGAAAAATTATTGATGAAATTCATATGGAATCACAAAAAACCCCGAATAGCCAAAGCTCTCCTGAAAAAAAAGAAGGGAATGGAGGCAGACTTCCAGACTCCCAGACTTCAAACTATACTACAAAGCCATAATCATCAAAACTGCATGGTATTGGAACAAGAACAGACATACAGACCAATGGAATCGAATAGAAAATCCAGAAATAAACCCACAGATTTATGGTCAACTAATCTTTGACAAAGGAGCAAAGACTATGCATTGGAGCAAAGAAAGTTTGTTCAATAAAGGAAATCATTTTAAATGCATGATTTTATGCCAGTCTTAACATGAATACAATCTAGAGGTCAACTTGTGACCTTGTGCCCCCAAGCATTCTAAACTAAAATCCCTTGAATGACTGCATCCTGCAAACACTACATCTGACCTCAGTTTCCAAGTTCTGGAGAAGTCCAAAGTTTGTCTCCTTTCTGTACTCCTTCCCCAGATCTTATGAAATCACAGAAGTGTACAGTCTCAATAACTGCCTTTCCATCCACACTCAGGCAAAATCAGCCTTTCATTAGTATCCACATCAGACTTCCACGGTTATTTGTGGTCTGGATAAAGATCATTATGTCAAGGACGAAGCGTTCTGCCATTATGCTCATCCTGTTCTTTCTCTCTTCCCATTCCTCCTGAATATCCCAAGCAAAGTATCTTTTCTCCCTGATGAAAAGTGACTCTGCTTCAGAAACCGGGGCATCAACATCTATTGCTCATCCAGGTCCTAGTGGCTCAATTTTTACCTCAAGTGAGCTCAAAAAGGCATTTTCCTAGGAAAAGAGCTGAAATACTGCCTCAGAGGAATTCTAATGCCTGCTGCTAAGGGGATACAGTTCCTTCTAAAGGGGGAACATTAAGTTCAAAATCAAGCAGCATCCCCACTGAGTTTCTGCTAGATGCAAGGAGCACTACCAAGCACACCTGCTCGAAAGTGGCATCTGGTCTAAGTGGGTAGGGTCACAGGAGGAAGAGGTCACTTCCGGCTGTGAGCATCAGGAAGGTATAAAGCGTGGCTGCAAAGGTGTCAAGGCTCAGGAAGAGTCCCAAGTCAGCCACCTCCAGTGGGCACACATTGCCCCACACTCAGATAAGCAGACAACATTTTCCTCCTAAAAGAATCACCCATCAGGGCCTCCCGGGTGGTGCAAGGGGTTAAGCACTGCACTAAGAAGCAATCTGAAGCTTCTGCAGCCTCTGCAGCACAAGTTCCATCCCTGGCCAGCCAGGGAGCAACACACATGGCGCAACAGACCTCTCCTGCCTCGCCCGCCTGTCCCCTCAGGAGTGTATTTCAGTCAGTCTGCCTGTTCTGTTCCCACTCCATCTCTGGTGAATCCCCTCAAATCCCACCCCCATCTCTGGCCTGTGCCCCAGCTCTTGTATGCATGATAAATAAATCTTTAAAAAAAATATCACCCACCATCCTTCAAAACAAACTAAGGGTGAGCTTGGCAGTGAGAGGATGAGAGGAATCAGAGCTACAAAACAATAAGGAAAAACCAGAAGGAATGGTAGTTAAGGTCCCTGAGGAAACTGATACAGAGTGTCCCATGGATGACTAAAAGATCTATAATCCTGGGAGCTCGGGCCAGGCCATATTTGCTTTGAGAGTCCATTTGGATGAGGAAAGGATGAGGAGGTGAGGGAATGGTTGAGGTTAATCAAATACTGACCCCACCCACCTCCCAAACCACATCTGAGAGTAGCAGAGAATGAGTTATCAGTAACTACCACAGATCAATGGCTTCATATATATTATTTTATTTTCACCATCTCTAAGGTAGAGATGATTATATCTCAATTTACAGAGGTTCAAAGTGATGATGTCACTTGTCCAAGATCACAGGGCAACCAAGCAATAAAGTTGGATTTCAACCGAGCTGCCACCTGCAGAGCCCCAAAGCCTTATAATCTGATGGGGAGAGGTTGACACAGACATGACTGCCTCAAAATCGATCATCCTAAGTATGTAATAGAAGAATAAACAGCTCACATCAGGACTGCAGTGGAGGGAAGTGTTAATCTTGCCCTCTCTCACCTCATTAAAATTTGCACTATGTCCCAGTTAGTACTAAGAGTGATCAGTGGCCACTGAAAATCAGGGACACATCTCCATCCTCAAGAACACAGAGCAGACCAGAGCCGCATGAGACACATCCAGGTCAAAACTATAGTGGGAGGGCCTCCCTGGTGGCGCAAGGAGTTAAGCATAGCACTATGAAGAAATCCACAGCCTCTGCAGCATGAGTTCGATCCCCAGCCAGGGAGCTGCCCACATGGCTCAGCAGACCTCACCTGTCTCGCCTGCTGCTCCCCTTAGCAGTGTACATCGGTTAATTTGCCTGTTCTGTTCCCCACTCTGTCTCTGGTGAATTCTCTCACCCCCTGCACCTCTGGCCTGTACCCCAGCTCTTGTATGCATAAATAAATAAATCTTTTTTAAAAACTGCATTGAGCCCTGTCTCCCTGCTGACACACTACTCCAAGCAAAATATAAACATCCTTTGATGCGTGGAGACATAATGACAGACACGGAGATGGAGCTGGAAGAAGTGTGTTTCCCAGTGCATGGGAAGTGTGCAGAGGAGCAGGTGATGTGCAATCTCACTCTCTAGGCCAGTGTCTTCACCTGAAGAAGGGAGTCAGACTGGGAGATTTCCAAGTTCCTTTGCCCACTGTGAGCACACAGGGTGACAGCATGATGTTGTGGGTCCAGTGGACAGCAGTACACTGAGCAAGAGATTGCCCCTGAGCCTGTGCCCAGATAGAGGACCTTGCAGAGCGAGGCTGCCTGTATTTTTTTCCACCTGACCACATCCTAATTGGCAGGGTAGTGCTATTGTCAGGCTGCCGATCAGATAGAACATTCCACCTCACAGGTGGATGCATTTCAGTGAGTCGCCAATAAACTGCAAAGAAATCCCTGCTTCTAGGATCAGATAGTCTAAAATAGCAGAAGTATTAACAGACTTAATTTTTGATGCAGCTCCCCTACAAAACCAAAAGCTGGTGAGAATCCCTTGGCGTGTTCAACTAAGAGTCCCAAGTTTGGTATTTAAACTCCACGATCCTCTGTGGCCTGAGTAAATGTAATTAAATCTAGGTTTTCCCCTACTGGACTTAATTATCATTCACTCACTGATGGCAATAATAATACTAATAATAAGTTCTTACGTCAGTACTTTTCAGTTTTTCAAATGGCTTTGACATGCTTTATCTCACTTGAGTTTAATAATAACCATGCAGCTTAAGTAGGGCAAGTATTATTATCTCCATTAATACTAATAATAGCTAACATTTAGGTAGCCCTTTGCATTTACAAAGTATTTTCATACATATTTTCCCATTGCACTAGAGGTTGAGTTCCTGGACACCAAGACTGTGTCTGAGCCATCACCTTATACTCCAGCACTCAACACAGGCCCAGGCACACAGAAGTCACTCAACATTTGTGACATTTTAATTAATTTGGCCCTCATGAAAATTCCATCAAGTTGATAGGCAGATATTTTTATCCCTAGTTTTCAGATTGGGAATTTGCAGCACAGAGAGTTTCAGTAACATGTCCAAAGTCACACAGGAGTATCCAGACCAAGAAAACAGTAGTTTTAAAATAAGTCCAAAATGTTGTGCTTTTTCCTTCATACCAGTGCTTGTCAAACTTTAACATGTAAACCTGGAAATCTTGTTGAAATGCAGATGTGATATAGTAGGCCTGAGGCAGGGTATGAGATTCTAAATTTCTAACTAGTTCCCAGGTGATACAGAGGCTGTAGTTTGAGAATCACTTTTTTATTTGTTTGTTTCCTTGTATTTTTTCCACTTTTTTTTTCAAATTTATTGAGATATAATGATATACAACATTGTGTAATTTTAAGGTATACAACATGATGATTTATATGTATATAAATGATTACCTCAGCAAGGTTAGGTATAAGATGAGTAAGTTCTGGGAATGAATGTACAGCAGGGTGACTATAATTAACAATGCTCTATTATATACTCAATAGTTGCTAAGAGGACCATTTTTCAAGAAGCAAATGGACACAAGAGGCAAAGAGCAATTAAGTAAATTTGTCAAGGTCATCCCCTGAATTAAAAGTAGAAATAGAGCTAAAAGTTATTCCATCCTACTTCCAGACTACTCTAGACCTGTTCTAGATACATGATTCAGTGATTCAAAAACATGGCACTCGGAGTCTTTTTCAACTTGTTCTCATCCCATTCACAAGTGGCAAAAGTTTCAGAATCTCTCACATTCAAAATATTTGATTCAATGTTTAAGGTACACACATCATGAAGTATAACCAGGATGAAAACTGTGTGATCGGGCTCCTGTTATGCCACTAAGTTGTTGTACTGGTTCCCTAAAAATTTAGTATTCTGTTGATTTTACTCTTCTATACCGCTTTCCAGGTCCTTTAGGCAAAGACTCTTTTCTCAGAGAGACCCCTAGATCCACTATTGGCCTAGAAAATCCCCTTCTGGGAGACACAGTTGGAGCAGGAGCTGGCCCTTAGTCAAGTCATGCTCAAGTACCAGACTTCCTGCCTTGCCAGATGGAAACATGAGACAGGAGTTAGTAACCAGGCACCAGATACACGAGCTGCTTGAATAACCTCCCTGTGAACTTTACATCTTTATCAATTACACTGACCCATCGCTGAATCTCAGACAGAGAGACTGGGTATATTAGTTGGGGTTCGCTAGAGAAATGAGACTAGCAAGCTATATAGAGAGAGGTTATATGGAATTGACTCACATGATTTTGGAGGCCGGTAAGTCCCAAGATCTGCAGGGTGAGTTTGCAAGCTGGAGACCCCGGAGAGCTGATGATTTAATTCCACTCTGAGTCGGAAGGCCTGAGAACCGGAAGAGCTGATGGTGAAGTTCTACTCTCAAGAACAGCAGGTTCAAGACCCAGGAAAGCTGATGTTTCACTTTAAGTCCAAAGGCAGGGAAAAGCTGAATCCCACTTCAAAAGCAGTCAGGCAGGAAGAATTCTCTGTTACAGGGAGGCGAATAGCCTTTTTGTTCTATTCAGGCCATCAACTGCCTGGATGAGACCCACCTACAGTAGAGAGAGTAATCCACCTTACTCAGTCCACTGATTCAAATGTTAATTTTGTCCAAAAATGCCCTCACAGGAGTACCCAGAATGATGACTGGGCATTCCATGGCCCAGTCAAGTTGACATGTAAAATTAACCATCACACAAAGACATCACCCATATTACGTATCTTCCAGTTATAAGAACATACCAAAAATTCGATGTACTCTGATATCTATGGTCTCTGTTTTGCAGGATTACCCTCCTTCCTAAAGACATTTTCCCCATGTTGCTACAGTCTTTGAGCCTATTAGTTACCATTGCCCATGGTATGTTCAGGACAGACTGGTTCTGAAAAACCACTACCCAGCAGGGAGATGGAGATGGAGGAGACTGGGACATACCCAAGACAGGGTAGTTGAGTTCATTGTAGGACTTTTTTTTTTTTTTAAGATTTATTACTTATTTATTTATTTATACAAGCACTGGGTACAGTCAGAAGCGCGGGAGGGTGAGAGAATTCACCAGAGCCAGAGCGGGGAGCAGAGCAGGCAGAAGGACCGAGGTACACTGCTGAGGGGAGCAGCGGGCGGCGGGAGAGGTCTGCGCACCATGTGGGACCCTCCTCCGATGGCTGGGGAGCAGCCGGGGATCGAACTGGTGCTGAAGAGGCTGCGGGCAGCTTCGCAACCCAGCGCTCAACTGCTGCGCCACCGGGGAGGTCCATTGTAGGACTTTTTCTATGGTGTCCAAGGCTTATGTAAAAGGATGGCTCTGACCTTATCTCTATTCCATTGTTATCCCTGAACACTAGTCCTTCAATTTAAAACTCAACTTTATATTCTTCCTATTGCCCAGGAAAGTAGGAACAATATCTCAAAAATCTGATGAGCATTTAAAAATGAATAATTGTGTGGGTTAGGGGCAGTGAAACAATCTCTGGATAAGAAAAAACCATAAAATGAAGCACAGCCTCAGGTCAGAGGACTTTCCAGTGTGGTTAGAGGCTACAACATAGTCAGCTCCCAAAGCCAATGTAAATATTCACCGGACACTATACTGAAAGAACCCCTCCTTGGCTATGGCCCACTCCAACCTGTACTGTCATCAGGCAGAGACCCCAAGAAAAGAATTGCCAAATTTCCCTATATCCAAAAGGTGACAGTATAGGGCTGAAAAAAATAAGATATGTGCATTAATGGACAAAAGGGAAAAATGAGATCATCTGGGTTGGATTCAGTCTTCAAAGGTGGTGAATATACTCTTTGGTAGGAAGAAACAATGGTTCCCATATTCTACTTGGAAACCCTTTTCTTGGTTAAGTCCTGAAACAGATGCACAAGAGTCCCATTTGTGACCACAAGTTGTGCACTGCATGTGTGCAAAATATGACATTTAAAAAATATGCCCATTGTATGCCAGTACTAGTTACTAGGGGAAAAAATTAGAAAATAATACACTAATCTTTCATTTGCAAAGCGCCGTATCAGTTCTCATATCTATGATCTTATTTGGTCCCTAGACCTGATTTTTTGAGTTAAGTGTTGTAATCCTCATTTACAAGAGGTAACTGTGACTAAGAGGGGTTAAATCCTTTATCTGTTGATTGTGTAATGATAAAGCAACAAAGTTAATATAATCAAAAGAATCAGCACATACCCACAAGAGACACTAAGATGATCTCTCCACAATGATCTCAGAGCACCGCAGAGGAGTTCCTAGTGTGCCTGATGAGACCAGGTAAAAATTCCCAGCATCCTTTTCTATCATGTCTTATCCTGACTCACTAATCTTTCAGGACAGTGATGTCCCCACCCCACCCAATTCCTTCATTATAATTCATGATAGATCATCCAAGGTGAGTAGAATCTGTCCTCCCCAAAGGGTAACTATCTATTAAGCCTTTTTCCTAATTGTAAAATGATGGTCATTGTCCCCTATTAAAGGAAAAAGTGACATTCCATCAATGAGAGAATTAGAAGGTAGTTGAAAAATGAGGAATGTCTCCTAAAACTGTACCACATCAAGTTTCACCCTATGCAGAAGTCAGTCTAAAAATAAGTATATTCAACTCTTTCAACTAGCTTTCATCCTTCACATATCGATCATCAAGAATTTATTATCTAATATGTGCCAAGGATTGGTGATTCCAAAATGAATAAAACATAGATTAGTATTTTGTGCAAGACTCTGATATCCTGTTTAGGGGTGGGACAGAGAAGAAAATACAAAGAAGCAGGTAATCACAAGTCAAGTGCAAAAGCAGAATTATGGGCTACATGTGGTCTCAAGTAAGGAGTAACTAGCACAGCCTAAATATAAAGATGTCACAGAAGATAGAAATTTAAACTAAACTTGGAGGGATAAAATAAAAAGGGTATTTCATGCAAAGGATGCTACATGAACCATGGCATGGAAGTATGAAATGGCGGAACATCTCTCTGTACTCTTTCCATGACAGTTTAGCTAATGGAAGGCCCACAATGTGTCAGATACTGTGGTTCATAGTGCAGGTCTTTATCTCTGAGATAAAAACTGATGAAACACTAAAGCACAGGATAAGCAAACACCTCAAAGAGAATTATAGCAGGAATTATCACCAGGTAGTAATGGCAATTTACTGATAGGTGAGAAAGACAATAGCTGTTAGGAAGTCATTAGCATTGTTCATATTCACCACACCAAGACAGGACCATTTCCTCCTAATGAAAAATAATTGGCAGACTCTGCATTTTAACATGTAACTACCAGTCTAGGAACATTGGTCATGTTACATAACACCAGATGACTTTCCCAGAAGCCCATTGTCAAGTACACTATGATGCCTTCATGTGCTACGCACTCTCATGGCAGCATGGGATAGTCTGAATGAATAAATGGCTTTATGTTTTCTTTCCAGAAGCCTACAGTTGGATTAATACACATATTTGAATCAATATTAAAGAATAAATCATTACAATGTAAGGCTGGCTGGAGATACAAGTGGAGTTAAGAAACAGGAAAAGTCAGAAGAAATTACACAGAGGAGGTAGAATTTAAGCTGTGTTTTGACAGAGTGGAGGGATTGGAAGAATAAAAGAAGAATATTCCATGCATGGGAAACAAACTGCATCAAGGTGCAGAAGTGGAAATTGTTCTGGTAAATTCAGGTGGAATAAGAAACTATCTGCCTAGAGCAGAGGTTGATAGGTAGGATAGTAAACATGTAACATGCCCTAACTCACAGCCATAGAAGTTTATACTTGACTTGTGGGCTATGCGGAGTCATTCTAGGAGCTTCTCAGATTCAGGTGTGAGCTGACTTCATGACTTGAGGGTGAATGAATTATTACCAAAGAAAGGGTAAATTGGCCCTTGTGGAGATAACTAGTCGGGTAATCATCTTCATACTTGGCTAAATATACCAGTCAACATTCTCCAGAGAACAGAATCACTAGGATGGATGGATAGGTGGGTAGATAGATCATAAATAAGTAGGTAGATCACTAGGTAAGTAGATGATAGATATTTAGATAGAAGATAACTAGATAGATGATGATGATGATGATGATGATGAAGATAGGTAGGTAGGTAGATAGATAGATAGATAGATAGATAGATAGATAGATAGATAGATAGATTTATTTACTTTAAGGAATTGTCTCATAATCATTTGTGGGGGCTGTCAAGTCTGAAAACTTCAGTGTAGGCCAGCAGGCTAGAAACTCAGAGAAAAGCATATATTGCTGCTCAAATCTAAAGGCAGTCTGAAGGCAGAATTCCTTCTTCTTCAAGAAACCTCACTCTTATGTCTCTTAAGGCCTTCAATAAGCTGAGTCTCTCCCATATAACAAAAGGTAATCTACTTTACTCAAGGCCAACTGATCTAAACGTTAATTTCTTCTAAAGACTAACTTTGCAGTGACAGGCTGGTTTTTTGACCAAGTATCTGGGTATCGTGGCCAAGCAAAGTTGACACATAAAATTAACCATTACAGGAGGAAACTAATCCCTGTTAATTTTAACAGTGATGTTCATCCCTCCAACCTTGCCTCCTCTGCCTGGTGGCTTAGCTTGCTGGTAAATTCACAGCCCACATGGAGTGGATATTTGATCTTACTTGAAGAAACATTAAAAACAAACACTCTGTCGACCTAAAGTAGAGACAAATCTCTGTCTCACCAGGAAAATCTTCCCTTTCTTCCCGGTCCTTCTAAATCCACTTCTCTCCAGACTTCTGCTAGCTACACCTCTTCTCCTATATGAAAAAATAGTCCCAAGGTTGACAGTGAGAATCAATGTTGTACAGACTCACTGTTGGTCTGTAGAAAACCACCCAACAAACGTATCACAGGAAACTCATGCCACGGGGCCATGCTTTGTTTGGGTTTGGTTCAAAGATTTCTAATCAATCTTTCAAAACTTTGCTTAGCTTATAATTTACCATGGGGTGACAGGTCCTATGTGGAGGAGAAGGATGACTTTCATTTAATATTAACCAAGCAGTTTTCCTCCACTTCCTCTTCTCCATTGTTTCCAAGTAATAAACAATGAGATTTAGCAAGTAGTTTAAAGTCAACTGGCTCTGAAGCATTCTTCTAAGTATTCTGCCTCACACATGACCTGAATATTGCATTCAACATCTGTTGAGAAAAACACACACACTTACCTAACACACAGACCCAACAAGCTATGCATTGTTTCCAAGTAATGGTCATAATGTACTTGATGTTTCTTAAGAGGGAAATACTAAGCAAAAAGAATAACACTGTTTTCCCCCAAATTATTCATGCTGAACAGAAAAAAAAAAAAAAAGAAGAGTGAAGTCAGAAACATTAACCCACTGCTGGTAACTTCCTTTGTAGGCCAGGAAGGAATCAGTGATGAAAAAGTGCCTAGAATGTCTTAGTGAAAATGATGCCTGTGATTCACACAAAACACCACCAAGGAAAGAAAAATTATATGAAAATGTACCACAGCAACACCAAGGCTTAGAGACAATGTAATATCAGACTTCGTAATTTCTCCTGAGGAGAGGTGGACTGGAAATAATCAAGATTTCTCCAAGTACCTACATTAAGAGTCAGATAAAGACAAGTTGAAAAACTATACCGATAGCTGATTACAGAACTGAGACACCAAGGCAGGGAAGGGGAGAGGGTGGGGTACAACAAAGAAAGAAGGAGCACAGCGCTCTATGGTGGAGGAATATGGGTGAGTTGGTGGTAGATGCACTATGGTGGTGATACCTGATGGAGGTACCTCAGTCAAAAATTAATTAATTTATTAATTTAAAAATAAGAAATTTCTCTTCATGTCAAAATCAGCCTTCATGCTTTGAAACAAACAGGAGAAGACATCTCATGGCCTGAAAGAAAAGGAGCAGCAGTTCACCATCTTCCAGGAATGAGCCCTAAGTGCTGTACTACCCAGGAGAAGAGCAAGATACTACCAGCAGGGCATGCTGAGAAATGCCTGGTTTCCCATGATTCTCTGTCAGCTCTTTGTATAAGCCTAAGACAAAGTGATGCAGAAAGTTCTCAAATAGGGCCTCCCCTGGTGATGTAGGCTGTTGAGCGCAGCGCTGGGAAGCTGCCCGTAGCCTCTGCAGCACTGGTTCGATGCCGGCCAGTGAGGGTCCCACATGGCACAACAGACCTCTCCTGTCTCTCCCGTTGCTCCCCTCAGTAGCATACTTCGTCAGTCTGACTGTTCTGCTCCCCGCTCTGTCTCTGGTGAATCCTCTCACCCTCCCATGCATCTGCCCTGTACCCCAGTTCTTGTGTAAATAAATAAATAAATCTTTTAAAAAAAGAAAGAAAGTTCTCAAACAAAAGAACAAGTAAGGATATGCTGAGTAAAATGGCAGCTAATACAGATTGTTGTCAACGAAGGCTACGTCAGGCAATTTAGGATTCATAGTCAGAAGCAGAAAACATTGCAAAGAGGCCTAGGTTGTGGCGCTAAAGGGCAGTTTTCACCAGGAACATGTCACCATGATTACTAAGTGTTTTATATTAAACTGAAGAATAAAACATTTTAACTTCTTGTCTTTACATTGAACATGAAGCCTATGATATACATAAATGTCTGTTTTTAAAATCGCTTAAAGAAACAGTCCAGTCTTACACTGCGAAAGGATCTCTTGATGTTTCTATCATTCAGTAGCAAGGGATAAAGACAAAGTTGCTACTCGAAGACTGTCAGAGCCATACTTTTCTCCATCCTTAGTTTGAAAGTTCGGATTGATCTAAAGATAAAAGGCAGACATGTTTTCTTCAGGAGGACACTTTAAGATGATCTTCCTCAGGCCAATGTACTTTGTTAAAGTACCTATTCTTGAACCAAGGAAGCTCCAGAATCTGGTGCAGCTATCCTCATTCCAGAACTGCAGAAATAGATACTAAATTTTCTTTCCCACATAGCAAGGAGACATTGATTTCCTTGGGAATAGGTGACAGTGTCTCTGGAGTGGGTATATCACCCTGGATCAGGGGTCACGTCTAGTCATTTACCTCAATTAGTATGCCAGGCAGAGATTGTGGAACATGCAAAGTTCAAGGCCTTCAAAGGAGCAGCTAGTACATCGTGGTACTGAAATCCTTCATGACCTTAGTTGAGATGTCACTTCTGGGAAACCTTCCCTGCCCAGCCTGCAAGATAGTCAGATGCTCTTCTCACTTATCTCATAGGCTTTGATGCATTGAGATGTAATGATGGACACAGACACCATGTGCATTGTAAATGTCTGTTTGCCTTTTCTACAGCTCTTTAGGGTGGAGACCTACAATTCTCATCATTCTAATTCAGTGTTGTATCCCTAGCAACTAGCATTGTGCATACAAGAATTATGGAATAAATTGCTTTTAAAATGCTTACCCTTGTACTTTTACATTGGCAGTTCTCCCATCAAAGCTTCTGGTACCGTCCATGCTACTTCATACCTCAGCATTCTCACTTGTGCTAAAAGTTTAAAATATGAATTTTAAATTATGAATTTTAAAATATGAATTCTTATAGATATTCAAGATGCCACAGACCACATCAAACTGTAGGTCTTCTGTCCATCATTCCCCATAAATCATCCACCTTGAGCATGCTGAGCCAAACTACTCCCCAAGCACACACATAGTTTCCTGACTCCAGCCTGAGCCGACATCATTCTCCTTCCTCTAGAGGTATCCATTATCCCTTCCATTGATCCAGTTCTTCTCCATCCATCAAGAACTAACTGATGCCTAGTCTCAACCTTCTTTATTACATTCTTGCTTTTCTCAACTCTTCTATTAGTGGTAACACTTATTGGCCACTTAATGAGAGAGAGAGAGATTTAAACATAATAATTTAAAATAAGAGCAGTATGTCTAGTCTCTGTTCTATATATTATGAGCTCAATCATTCACCCATAGCTCTCTCTGCTTGTGATACAGAGTTCAGACAAAACAAACAAACAAAAAATAAGTCTGGTGTTCAAAAATAATAAATATAATGAGGCAATTGCATGACAGCCCAAAGTGTGAATACCAGATGATGGATAGGTGGATCAGTTGATAAAGAGATTAAGAATTTGGAAAACAATCTGTTTTTCAAAAAGATGATCTGACACACAGCAAAGTTGCACCAATATGGCAATCGAATAAGAAAGAAGAAATAGACAGAAAGCAAACCAGTCATGACTGATCCCAGCTTTCTTTCATTCAAGTCACCAGAGAGCTACCTATTTCCTTCCATAATACATTTCCCTGCCAGTCTTCTTAGGACAACATTCTCTCTGAGATATTAAGGGAACAAAAACCTCCCCAATCCCAGACAACATGCCTGGCACCAAGTCATGTAACTATTTACCAATTTCTCATGTTTTCTACTAAAAACTTTCTTTTTGCTTTATATCAGTCTCCTTAAACCCAAGCTTGTCATTTCAAAAGTTTGCTACTGTCATTGAGGCTGTATTTAAAGATAACTCAGAAAGTTCAAGAAAAAGCAATTGTGTATAAGGTATAATGGCATGAAGGTCACGCTCTGTCTGGGACCTCACAGGACCCTGGCCCCACTCGGCACCAGGAGCACTGAGCACGCTGTCAGGCACCATGGCCGCTGTGTGTGATAAGGTAGGAGATCCTGGGAGAGTCGCTCTGAGACTAAGAGAACTCAGTTTCTTCAAATATAAAACAATGGGGGTGAGTCAGTTTAGTGTTCCCAAAATAGTGCTGTCAAAACCAAATGGAGGCTCACCTTGCTCAACAGTGGACCAGGCAGGGAAGGGAGTGGATTTGTGGGAGTGAAATTCATCTCACCTGCACAGGAATACTATATTCTTGATAGGTCCTTGTATTTATTAAACCATTATCCAATTAGGCCAATACAAGGCAAAATGTAAATGATGATCAAAATGTCCCCTGCCCCCAACTCTTCTCTCTCCTCTCCAGCATTACAATAGCCAAGTTTGTGTCCCCAACAGAATTCCAGAGTTGTCTGTGTCAGTGCCTGAGGCAATAATGTTAGTGGGTGGGATCTGTGGGAGGTGTTTAAATCCTGAGGGTAGAATCTTCCATGAATAGGATTAGTGCCTTGGGAAAGAGGTTCCAGGGGAATCCCTGGTACTTACACATGGAAGCACACAGTGAGGAGGAGCCAGAAGGTGCCAGAAAGAGGCACCTTGATGCTGGCATTCCAGCCTCCAAAACTGCAAGAAAGAAATTTCTGTTAGCAGTGAGTTCCCCAGTCTGTGTATTTTATGGATTTCAAATGGGCTTACACAAGCACCTCACAGTTGGCATTAGGAAATTCTAAATAAATCCTAAAGCTCTTTCTCAATCACTATTCAGCTGGCCCCATGTTAGGATCCAGTATTGTGTGTTATGAGGCAAGATGACCAGTTCATCTGACAAAATCTGTATATTTTTTGATTAAGTGGTGAAAGGAGTTACATTAACCTTTGATCCTGCCAAAGAACACACTGGCATTTTACTAGACGGTACAGACACAATGTTTTTATCCCACTGTTTTTCAAACTTGAAAACTTCACCTTTTGAAAATGCAGGGGAAAGGGAGCACTATCCCAGGTGGGAAAAAGCCACATGTGAGGCAGCTGCAAGACAATGGCAGCAAACAAGAGGCACGGCCCACGGGCTCAGGCAACCCAAGGTGCAACAGGTTGGCCCCATCCCTGCAGGGACATGCGTTATCCCAGGTCATGACCCTTCCCCAGCACTGCCTTCTCAGGTTTGAAGACATAAAACAGAGACAGCACGAGTAGCAGCATTTGGAGAATATTGTGTCACTGTTATCACTTGCATCAGAGAGAGGAACGTGCTGGAATAAGATTGGTGGAGAAGAGGTCTCTCAGTGTTTACATGAAAATCTACCATAATTTTTCTGGTGATCTGTTTGGGTACAGAGAATTCTAGAGAGGAAGTCCACAGAGGGAAGGGAGCAAAGACTCTAGCTCTATATTTTGAGAAATGCTGGCAGCCAGGTTATTATAGTCTCTGGATGGTGGGAGTGTAGGAGCTGGACTCCTGTGTCCTCTAATAGGCTGGCCAGGTAACTAGCGACAAATGCAGAGCACCCAAGAGCCATTGGGTCCCAATGCCACTGAGAGAGTAGGGAAGAGAAGGCAGGACATACAGTTTGTCTCCCAGGATTCTAGGACTAATAGTCATAAGCTCTTTTCCCTAAGCATTTTCACCACATAACTAATTGGTTGTAAAGCAATTTTGCTGTAAAAGTTAAATAACTGGTTGACAATTTGGTTGACAGTTTGGTTTCAACTGACACAGTACTCCCATTTTTATACTATAGTGATAAAACTTACTGGAAGTGTGAAGTAAGAGATTGTGAAGCCAGATTGCATACTGTACTAGAAAATGACAACGTATCAGTCTGAAACTCCTCCAGTGAGCACAGTATTCCCACCCACCCATGAAAACCAAGTTTACCAAGCTATGCAGAAATGAAAAAGGCAGTTACTAATTATTGAAAAGAATTATCAATTTTTATGTTAATTTAGATATAACACCTTGTCCTCTAATGAGATTTTTACCAAATTTATCATGAAATATTAGAAGTTGGAGGCAAAAAAAAAAAATCAAACTCCTCCCCCAGATAAGAAGTAATTATGTGATCCCTGATGAGTGTAAGTCCCTTGAACTTGGTAAAATTTTCTGCTATTTGATAGTGAAGAACAAAATGTAGACAGAATTTTGGGTTTTGGCACAGAATTTGACTTAGATGATTTGGTGAAATGGAAGGTCTGGGCTCATGATGGAACATTTAAAGGTAGTACAGGCATGTCCCACCTGTTATGTATGTTACACATAATGATGAAAAAATAGCAACATTCAAATAGCAGTGCAGAAGCCTTTCAAAACACTCAGTCTCAAATGTGCATCTTAATATTTGGACACTGATATCTCTTAATGAAGAAATTTTAGCAAAGAGAAAGTATTTCATAATAGCCTTAAAATTAATGCCCCTTTTTACTTTACATGATTTTATCTTTTTTTAAATTTTTTTAAGATTTATTTATTTATATAAGCACTGGGGTACAGGCCAGAGGTGCGGGAGGGTGAGAGAATTCACCAGAGACAGAGTGTGGAGCAGAACAGGCAGAAGGACCAAAGCACACTGCTGAGGGGAGTAACCGGCAAGACAGGAAAGGTCTGCCCCACCATGTGGGAATCTCCCTGGCTGGCCAGGAATCGAACCTGCACTGCAGAGGCTCCGGACAGCCTCACAGAGGGGCACTCAACCTACTGCGCCACCAGGGAGGCCCATGATTTTATCTTTTTAATATCAAAATTTTCTTATAACCAACTAGATATATGAAGAAAATGCTTACAGCAAAATTGCTTGTAGCAAAGAATTTATGGTGATTCTACCTGACAGTTACCTGGAGATCCAAATAGTTTGGGAGGCTGGAAATACACTAGCCATTCTGGACATCTCTGGTGACCACAATGCAGATTGCCCAAAATTATCATTCTGGGATGCTTGATGACCTATTCAGGTGACTGGAGCTCCAAATGACAGGTTCTTGGCTTGAATACAAAACTGTATTCAAAGACAAAACAGTGCAGAAAGAAAAATTGAAAGTCCTGGCAGAGAAAAGTGAAATTACAGCAAACGTATGAACAGTTATGAAGTAAAAAGCAGCCAAAAAGCTCCCACTGCCACAAAAAGAAAAGGGGGATTTATATTACTGACTCACTTTTCAAAGCAAATGGATTACCCTGTGATTAATATCATGTTAGTGTTTTATGATTTCTTTTTAACTGTTCAAATGTGATATTGCTAGATTAAAAGGGTAAAGCTATCATTCTATAAATATATTAACAATTGATTGAAAAATAAGGAAACAGTATCCATATTCTATCCATGCTTTCTCTTTTTATTTTGTTTTGTTGTAGTAAGAATACCTAATATCTACCCTTATTATAAAATTTTTAGTGTATATTACAAAATTGTTTCCTATACATACTATGTTGTACAGCAACCCATCTCTATAACTTATTCATCTTGTTTAACTGAAATTGTATACAAATGTTGAATCAGATGTGGTGAAATCAGAACCCTTGTGCACAGTTGGTGTGAATGCAAAATGGTGAAGTCACCATGGAAAATATGGTTTTCAAAAAAAATAGAACTATTTGATATAACAATCTTACTTCTGGATATTTACCTAAAAGAATTAAAATCAAGCTCTCTACATGGGCGATATTAGAACTCCCATGTAAATTGCAGCACTAGTCACAATAACTAAGGTGTGGACACAAACTAAATATCTATCACCAGATTATAATGGATAGAAAAAAATGTGAGACATATTATTTAGGCAAAGGATTTCACATACATAAACAACAACCAATTAGAAGGTACATTGAGAAAGTGACCCACATGACAAAGTTTCACAACAAAGATGTACCCAGATGTGAATTTAACAATAATGTGTTACTGGGCCTCCCTCCCCGGTGGCACAGAGGTTGAGCGCTGGGTCGCGAAGCTGCCCGCAGCCTCTGCAGCGCAGGTTCGATCCCCGGCTGCTCCCCGGCCACCGGAGGAGGGTCCCACATGGCGCGCAGACCTCTCCTGCCGCCCGCTGCTCCCCTCAGTAGTGTACTTTGGTCCTTCTGCCTGCTCTGCTCCCCGCTCTGGCTCTGGTGAATTCTCTCACCCTCCCGCGCTTCTGACTGTACCCAGTGCATGTATAAACAAACAAACTAAATAAATAAATAAATAAATAAATAAATAAAAGAATAATTAAAAAAAAAAAAAAACCAATAATGTGTTACTAAGGAATGTGAAAGAATATTTAACTAAATAAAATGGCAAATGCATTCTTGACAGAATGGGACCATAAAGATAACAATTCTTCCTAAATTAATTTATAACCTGAATTACAATGGGATTTTTCAACAAAACAAGTTATTTCTAAAGTTGATACATAAAAATAAATAAGCCAGAAGTCATTACAATTGTGAAAAACAGGAGGAAATAGATTTATCATATATTAAAATGAATCATAAAGTTACAATTAAACAGTGATATACTAGCCCAATGTAACAGACTAGAAAGTATATGCTCAAATAGCAATTAAAATACAGTAAATTATACAACTGACATTTCAAGTAAGTGGTAAAAAAATTAAGATATTTTTAAATAAATGGTTGTGGGACTACAATCATGAGGAAAAAAACAAAACTGGCTCCATATTTCACAGCCTGCATCATCATCATAAATCTTAGATGGATCAGAGATTAAAATCTTTAAAACTTCAAGCCATAAATACTGCTAAAATTTTATGGAAGAATTTTTAATTGTAATCTCAGAATGGAGACCATCTTTCTAAATATAACATAAAACTGAGAAGTCATAAATAAAAAGACTGATGGAACTTCTGTCCCTGAATATGGTGCAGTAAGCAATACTATATTATTCTCTCCACCATAAAACTGGTATAAAAAATGGCTATAAAACTGGCAAACATATCTGAAGTAATTTTTTTTTTAAGTCATAGAAAACAGACAGGATGAGACTGCAATTTCTGAGAAAAGGGAAACTCAGAGCAAGCAGAGTTTGGTAGTCCTGCTGAGTTCAGGAGACAGAAATTAGAATTCAGAACAGCTGACATGATAAATTATACATGGAAAGGTGCAAGTCAGAGAAGATATGCAGAATAGGGAGTTCTAAAATTCTGAATTGAGAACCTCCACAATGAGGACCAGACTATACCTGTACAGGACAATGCCACTAAAGGCTTACCAGATAGCACCTACTACAAGGCCCACAATGGAACTATGAATCTGGAGGTTAGACTGTGCTGCAGTACTAAGGAATTCTGACCCTGACAAAGTAGACAGTCTTCATTAATACCCTGACATAGGCTGAATCACCAGAGAAACTCTTCTTAGAAATAAGGATGAAGCCCTAGTGTACTTAGATGTGAATATAATTCTAGTATAATATTCATTCTAGACCTTCCTAGCACCAATAATGCCTAAATCAAGCTATGACAATATCTTTATGGAAAAGAGAGCTTGGAAGTAGAGATCCTTCTTGTTTTAGGGGATTGCCAGGACTTATTTTTTTATTGGGACTTAGGAAATATATCCACACAAATAAAACATAAAATCAAGCTTACCCAATTTCAAAACGATCTACCAGTAATTTCAGTCAACTAAAATATGCCTCAACAATCTTCAGAGAAAGATAACAGAATCACTACAATATATCACTCTAAACACAAAGAAACAAAAAAATGTAGTCTATCACCAAGGAAGAAAAAGGAATCAATAGAAAACAAAACCAGGATGGCCCAGGTGATATTTATCAGACAAAAACTCTAAAGAAGTTTTGACAGATTGTATTTTCCAAAAATATCTCCCACCGTACATGTTCCTCTGCAGTGTGACTGTGCCATTCTCCCATGGTTTGACTTTAGAACTTTTCCATCAATAAAATGCGGTGGAGGGCCTCCCCAGTGGCGCAGCGGTTGGGCGCTGGGTTGCGAAGCTGCCCGCAGCCTCTGCAGCGCCGGTTCGATCCCCGGCCTCCGGGTGAGGGTCCCACATGGCGCGCAGATCTCTCCTGCTGCAAGCTGCTCCCCTCAGCAGTGTACTTCAGTCCTTCTGCCTGTTCTGCTCTCCACTCTGGCTCTGGTGAATTCTCTCACCCTCCCGTGTCTCTGACTGTACCCAGTGCTTGTATAAATAATTAAATAAATCTTTAAAAAAAAAATGCAGTGGAAGTGATAACATGGGGTTCTCAGGCCAGATCATAAGAAGCCCAAAAGCTTCTACCCATATCTCTTGGAACGTTCATGCAAGTGCCATGCAGAGGCCAGAGGTAGATGCTGTGTTTGGCAACCCCAACTGAGCACCCACTGACACCCAGCATCAACTGCCAGTCATGTGAATGGGTCATCTTAGATGTCTAACCCAGTCTGTTGAAGACAAAGTAATAGAAAGTTTTCATTCTGTGGGGCAGAGACAAAAGAAATGATTGGAGAAAAAGGAACAAATCCTTGTGGAACTATGGGAAATGGTCTCACAAATGTGTCACAAGAATTTCAGGAGGAGAACAGAATTAAATGGAGCAGAAAAAATAAATTATTGTTGAAATTTTCCCAAATTTGATTTTAAAAACACTGACCTACTTACCCGAGTAGCTTAGTAAATCTAAGTAGGATAAATTTAATAGGACACTCTTAGGAAGGGTATCATAGAATTACACTGAAAATAGAGTCTCAAAACCATTCAGAGGAAAAAAATCAATCATATGTACCAGAACATGAGTAAGAATGATGACTGTCACCAAAAACAATGGAGGCAATGATTTAAAGGAATGCAATCCTTAAAGTGTTAAAAGAAAAAATAAAATTATCTAGAATTTTATATCCAGTAAAAATATACATCAAAATAAAAGAATGAAGTAAAGATAATTCAGTAAATCAAAAATTGAGAGATACTGTCACCAGCAAATCTGCCTAGAAGCAATGGTAGAGGATAGCATGTAATATGAAGGAAAATGATTCCAGATGGAAATGAGGAACTATTGGAAGGAATGAAGTGAATCATAAATGGTAAATAAGTGGATAAATATAATTTTTTTCTCCAGCTCACTTAAAAACAACTGAATGTTGAAAACAAAAGTTTTCACTGTAAGTTGGAACTTAAAAAGAAAAAAATTATGTGAAAATTATCCCAGAAATCATAGAATAAATAGTATTGTATATTAAGTATACCTCAATAAATTTATTTTTTTTTAAATAGAGGCATGTTTTATTTATTTGTTTATTTGTTTGTTTGTTTGTTTTGTTTATACATGCACTGGGTACAGTCAGAAGCATGGGAGGGTGAGAGAATTCACCAGAGCCAGAGCGGGGAGCAGAACAGGCAGAAGGACCGAAGTACACTGCTGAGGGGAGTAGCGGGCAGCAGGAGAGGTCTGCGCGCCATGTGGGACCCTCCTCCAGTGGCCGGGGAGCAGCCGGGGATCGAACCAGTGCCGCAGAGGCCATGGGCAGCTTCGCAACCCAGCGCTCAACCGCTGCGCCACTGGGGAGGCCCCTCAATAAATTTAATCAAACAAAGGTTGACTATTTGGTTACATAGAAATTTTTTTTTAAATATATTCATGATAAAAACTACCAAAAACAAACATAGAAATGACAAACTCAGAAGAATATATTTGCAAGTCATATTACATAAAGATGATATTCTTCATAAATAAAAGTACTCCTATTGATCAATTAAAGACCAAAGTTTAATAGAAATAAAGAAATAAACAAAGGTAGGTATATAGTTCACTGATGTGAAAATACAAGAATCTCCTTAAATACATTAAAATATGCTCATTCTCCCTCATAACCTAAAACAATGAAAATTAAAAGTACAGAAGATATCATGTTTTATTCATCATATCACTTGTTTATTCATCATCAATCAAATGCACATAGCTTAACACACATTTAGAGAAATAGGCACTCATATTGTTGGTAAATTACAAATTAAAGCAAATTCTATAAACAGCAATTGGGCAAAAATA